TCTCAATTGTTAAAATTGATTTGAGAGAGAGAGAAACATTGATTGGTTGCCTCCAAAATGTGCCCTGACTGGGGATGGAACTTGCAACCTGGGTATGTGCCCTGCCCAGGAATCAAACCACCACCTTTCGGTACACCAGACGATGCTTCAACCAACTGAGCCACACCAGCCAGGAAAAATTGACCTCAGATGAAAAAGAACATATACCAAAGGTAGAAAGAAGAGCACATAAATAAAAGAGAATGATATATTTTGCAGGTATGCAATATATCAACAAAAAATAAAATAAAATACAAAAATTATAATAAATAGAGGTTTGTCTACAATTCTCCCAGAATCACATACTAACAATTGATTCTCTTACAATCCTAAGTTCCACAGATGGGCTTTCAATGGTGCTTTCAAACCATCCCAGAATCAATTGTCTCTTTGGAGTTCCCAGCACTTGCAGTTCTCATGGTGGGCTCTTCAGGCTACCTCGTGGTTTTTAAAAATTTTTTTATCCTCACCCAAGGACATTATTTTTCATTTATCTTCAAATAGAGTGAGAGGGAGAGAGGGGAGAAGAAAGAGAGAGAAACATCAATGTGAGAGAGAAACATTAATTGACTGCCTCCTGCACACCCCTCACTGGAGATTGTTATAACCCAGTAATTCTCCATCCGCTAGAAGAAGGAACTTGTCCTATCCTTGAAACTGAGTTGTTTTTGCAAAATTTCTTGAAGAAGAAGGTATACATCAGCCATGACCACAAGGGTATTGACCATGAGCTTAACTAATCAGGAGATGCCAGATGGGGCAATGAGACATTCAAGGCTCGGATCTAATAAATGTTAAGAAATATAAAATAAACAAGTTGTGCAGCTACTAACTGCTGATATCCGCTCCTGTACATGTAGCTTGCTTGCTCTGCTAAACTCTTGAGTAACCCCTTTCCTATATAAGCAACCCTCCCCCTGAGCTCGGGGCTGCAGTTCTCCTCTGTGAAGGTTGGCTGCAGTCCCTGCACAGGTAATAAAGCTCCTAATATTCAAAATTACTTTGTGTATGAGTGAGGTTGATTCTCCTGGGTTACAACAGAGATGGAGCCCAAAATCCAACCTAGGAATGTGCCCTGACTGGGAATCGAACCGGAATCTCTCAGTTCATAGGATAATGCTCAATCTTCTGAGCCACAGTGGCCGGGCTCATTTAAATATTTTAATTCTTTTCACAATCACATATAATAATATTAAATATAACTTTAAAGTTAGAAATTGCTACACATCCCACCACATCAGTGCAACTGATTTTATCTTTACATTTTCTTTGGTTCATCTCTGTGGATATTTACATGTATTTTATACTGTGAATATGCTGCTTAAAAATGTCCACTTACATTGTAAAATATTTTACATGTTATTACATAATATTTGTGGTTTTTATTTTTAAAGGTCATGTCACATATTTCAAAGGATTAAAATGCCTTCCAAGGACCAGAAATAAATTGAAACCATTTCCTGGTTATCAGATACTTTATATATTTAATTCTACAACCTGCTTTTTACATTTCTTATATCATGGACTTCAAGTCAGTACTTATATTTTCTGCATGATTTTATTTTTGTTTTGTTTTCTTTTTTCTATATTATTTGAAATGTCTGCATAGCATTCTATAATAAAGATATAATTTCTTTAATTTAATGCTTTGAAAAGTTAATACACTCCCTTTTTAAAAATTCAGAAAACAATAAAATGGCACACAGTGAAAAGTTTCTCTCCTTGTTTCTTGATTCTCACCCCACTCCAGTATATAACCAAACCTCCTTTCTTTGTATCTTTCCAGTTTATTTAGGTAGATGCAAGCAAACGTAAATGTCATTTCTTATCCCCCTCCCCCTTTTTTTAACCAGAATGTATTATATACACCGTTCCTTACTTTGTTTTTGTCACTTAATAATTTATCTTGGAGATTGTTCCAACTCAGTACACCGAGAGTTTCCTCATTCTTTGTTCTGCAGCTGCATGGCTTCCTACTGTAAAGGCACCATACCTAAATTCCACATGACGAATGGTGTGGTTATCCCATTGACTCCTGATCCCATCCCTTATCCATTAACTCTAAAACCTTGTCCCCTCCATTATCCACCTCAATCCCTCTTTGCTGGCTTGTTTTGCCTACAAGCATTTCAGGTTTCTATGTGCTAAAAGAGAACTTTCCCTTCATTCTAAGTTCCCTTAAATCTCCTGTAACCTTCAATTTTGATTGAAGTGCCCACAGTCTTCATCCACAGCTTCCGCTTCCATTTCACACACACACACACCCATTCCCTCCTTGACCCCTTGTGATCGGTGTTCCTCTTCCTATCTGTACTAAAACTCATCTCTGGATGGTTTTCTAACAGAAACATTCAACAGCTTGGTCTTTTTCTCAGTCCTCACTCTAACATTTGAAAATGAGTATCCACCCTTTGCTTACCCATTCACCCCTTAACCTCTTATAAAATGACTTCTGCCCACCCCACCCTCTTTAGACTAAAACTAATCTTCAAGTGGTCAACTAACCTGTTAATGGACAATCTCCCAGTAACCTGGTCTTGGCTCACTTCTTTAGCACCCACACCTGGTGTTCCTGTCACACCCTACTCCCACCATAGGCTATAGCCCTAGAGATTCTATCTTCCCAATGACTTCACTCCTATCCTTTCCTATCAGTTCTGTCCATTACTTCTAAATCAGATTTTAATTGCCGATGTCTAGACGATTATTAGTGGTCTTCTAACAAACCTTTCTCTCTGCAGCTTCTTTTCCTAACTGAAAAATAAAGCAGGTCTTACATTATTCCCTTCTTTAAAACTCTTATTTCCAAATCAGTTAAGCACTAACTCTCCAATCTGATATTCAAGTCTTTCCACTGTTTTAACTCAATTCAACTTGTATTGACATCAGTTGGCGTTATTTTCCACTGCTATATAAGCATACCCTGTGCTCCAGCCAAACCAGTCTGCTTATTTTTTCACTAAACAGTGTGCTTTTGCACCCCCGGGCTTTGGTTCACCCTTTGTCCAGCTGGATATTCTCTAATTGTCGTGTGTAGGTTAGTTCCCCTCCATCTCTGCTATTCTAAATCTTATCCTCCCAGCTAATTCTACTTGTCATGATATCTTCACTAGCCCTCCACCAGAACTGATCAGAGTTATTTGTGCAGTTATCATATTTTGCTGCTGGATTCTGAATTCTGTTAAAACAAAAATTTTCATTTAGTGAGCCCTCTATGTGTTCATCTACGCTAAGTGATTTGCATGCATTACCTCATTTAATCCTCACATCAACAGCTAGGCCAAGATTCTCCCCATTAAACGTTAAAGAAACTGAGGCTTGCCCTGGCCAGTTTGGCTTGGTGGTTAGATCTTCCACCCGTGGACCAAAAGAGTCAGGGTTCATTTCCAGTCAAGGGCACATACATGGGTTGTGGTTAGGTCCCCGGCCCTGGTTGGGGTTGTACAGGAGACAACCAATTAGTGTGTCTCTCTCACATCAATGTTTCTCTTTCTCTCTCTCTCTGCTCCCTGCCCCACCCCCACCCCCATCTGAAGATAAATGGAAAAATATCCTCAGGTGAAGATTAAAAAAAAGAAAAAAACAGAGGCTCAGCGAGATTAAGTAGCTTGCCCAAGTCATGCAACTGATAAAAGTTTCTCCCTCAGACTCATTGTCTTAGTCCATTCAGACTGCTATAACAAAAATATCATAAATTGGATGGCTTATAAACAACAGAAATTTATTCCTCACAGTTCTGGAAGCTAAGTCCAAGATCAAGGTGCCCACAGATCCAGTGTCTGATGAGAGTCATCTTACTGATTCACAGGCAGCTATCTTTTCTCTGCTTCCTCATATGGGCCTAGGGGCTAGGAAGCACTCTGGGGTGTCTTTTATAAAAGCACTCATCCCATTCATGAGGCTCCATTCTCAGGATCTAAGCACCTCCCGAAATCCTCATCTCCCAATACCACCACCTTGGAGGTTAGGATTTCAACATATGAATGGGGGGGGGGGGGATACAAACATTCAGTCTACAAAACTGGTGTTTGTATTACATGTGGTAGCCAGCACAGTGTCAACCACTTACACTGCACTCAACCTGTGTAGTCGGATCAACGTGTTAAAAATGGTGTCTGTGTGTAGCAGACCAAGATTCTAAGGACGCAGGAAGTGGGGATTGAAACAGTAATGAATTTGGAAGGCAGAACTATTGGATTATTGCATTATAGAGCTTTAGAGATAAGCATTTAAAATGCATAGTTACTACACAGGATTGCAGCTACTCTTAAATATTCTCTAATTGTCGTGTGTAGGTTAGTTTTGTTTCCCTGGTTTTATTGTCATACCCCCTGGATTATCTCTCTCTGCTCTCTTGTATCCCCACAGCCATCGGTGCATTGCTCAACTCAGGGTGCCAATACTTGTTGATTTTAATGTATGTGTGTTTGCATATGTGAACAGCAGCTGGGTAGAGGATGTGGGTGTGTGATGTAGGGTGCATGCCTTCCCATCATTTTCCCTTTGAGCAGCTGCAGCCTAGATGCTTTCTTCCTCGGGGGAGAAGACAGAACCGCTGACCCTTTAGCAAGTTGTCCCTCACAGAACAGGTGTCTCCCCCTCCTCTCTAAGGAGAGGGATGGCGGACCCTCAGCGACATCAACGACCCACCAATGAGAAGTCAGGCTTCGGCAGCCGCACCAATGGGCGACCGGGGGCGGGCTCGGTTTCCTGGGAGCCGGGCGGGCGGGACTGGTCCTCCGGCCGCCGCGGAGTCTCGGCGCTCACGCTGCCCGCTGCTGCTCCCGCGACTCCCGGCGGCTCCGGTGGCGGCGCCGTTCGCCTGCCCTCGTTTCTTCCGGACGCAGGGCTGGGGCACCTCCCGCCGCGGTGCAGCTCCCCGCGGCTCAGGCTTGGGAGGTGGCGCGGCTCATGCCCCCGGGCTCAGAGCGCGCAGGTGGGCCGGCCGCCGCGGGGAGATAGGCCCCCGGGGGCGACGGCGGCTGGACCATGGCCCGGAGACCCGGGGCGCCGGCCGCCTACGGGGAGGAGTTCTCCTTCGTCAGCCCGCTGGTGAAATACCTGCTTTTCTTCTTCAACATGCTCTTCTGGGTGAGTGTTAGGGGTCGCGGGGGCACCTGGGCTGCAGGACACCCCCGGAGGGCGGAGTGGAATGCCCGCAGCTGAGGAGGGGGCGTCCTGGGATACCCGGCTCAAGGCGACCGGGGTGAGTGGCACTGCCTAGTTTTCTAGGCTGATGGCACTTTGGAGTAATTTATCCTGGGGAGGAACACCACAGTGTCGCTGTGTCTGGAGCGGGCATTGGGTGGAGGGTATGTAAGGGGTTCAGTAAAGACTCATGGGCATTCTCTGGGTCTGTGTCATCGGATGAGGGTCAGTGTCAGGCCAAAGAGGTGGGTTTGAGCGGAAGGAGCCAGTTTTCCTGTTGGACCAACGCAGACCCACTGGTGCCTTCATGACGGGGGGACTTTCATGACGGGGGGACTTTCAGGCCTAGGGACTGGGCGGCCCTGCTGGCAAAGAAAAAAGAGGAAGGGGGAAAACCTAGACCTTCCTTCCCCTGACCTCAGAGGGAATAGATTAAAGGGCTTTTATTTTTCTTTTGCATGCTTCTGGTGCTCCCTGTCCTCAAAGGCTGAGAAGGATCAGGAATGGCCTCTAGGTGTGGATGTCTTTTCCAGCACTGTCCCAAACTTTGCCCCCACCTTTCTCAAGACAAGACTCCATTCCCTGGGGTCTGACAGTCTTCCGCTTCTTTAAATAGGACCCAGTGTTGGGCTGGAAGGCCAGGGGTATTTCCAGAATCTTCTGCTAGGGGAGGGAGAAAATATTGGACTGGGGTTACCTGGATTCTCATCCCCACTCTGCCATTGTTGACTAACCTGGGCAATATGTTCACTCCTGTAGGCCTTAGTATCCTCTGTAAAATCAAACCCAGTTTGATCAAGGATGGTAGAAATACTCTTCTGTAATTTAGAATCCAGCTGGACCAGATCATGAAATGCTAGTTCAATCCTGTTTCATTTCGAGAGAGTCCCTGGGCCCCTCTGGATTTAAGAATGTAGGGAGCTCCCCCCCCTCATCCCCCTTTTCTCTTCCAGCTTCAACTACACCAGAGCTGCTGCTCTAGGTACCCATTATGATTGCCTCTCTCTGCCTGAGAACTAAAGTCCAGACTTGCAGGAGGGAATAATTATGAGTCGAAAGTATGTTTGTGAGGAGAGGGAGCAGACCAGGCATCTAAACCAGTTGTAAAGGTTTCACAAGGGCTGTGGTGTGAAGAACAGACACAGAGTACCTAAGTGCTAGACTGTTGGGACAAATGAGAGAAATCCTGGAGAGTGGTGATGACAGCTCACTCTCGGCCACAGTACTAGGAAAATTAAGTTCGAACTCCTAAAAAATTCTCAGTTTTAGAACTGAAAAAAAAAAGTGGAAGACAACATGTCCAGCAACCTCATTTTATACATGAGAAGGCTAAAGCACAGAGATGGTCATTGTTTTATCCAGGGTCCAACAGCTGATTAGTAGGCTTGATCTGGCAATTTTTCTGCTGAACCACAGTGCCTCTAGGGGAAGTCCTTGGCCAAGAAAGCTGTTACTATAACTGGAGTGTTAGCAGTATTAGTAATTAACCAGTTGATCTGAGTTCCCATGGTCTAGGTTCTGCTTCAGCTGGTGGTTAGAAAAGAACAGAAGAAAATTTCACTGCCACTCTGCCAGGGCTTGGGGATGTCCCAAAGGGAACTCCCCACCTATGGGCAAGTCCTGAAGAACCCTCCTACATTGTCACTGAATGTGCCAGGCAAATGGCATGCCATCCTCAAGGATATAATGATATCCTCAGAGCTAGCACTAGCATTGCAGGGACCTCACACCCCCAGGCTGACTTCCTCTATCAGTTAAGACTGTCTCCTTTGGAGCCTTGGCACCACACCCTTATCTGTGCTCCCCAGTGACAACAACAGCTGGGCGCATCTGTTGCACTTGCGTTCATGGTCATTTTCTTGGACTTCCCCACTCCACTCCACCCCCCTTTACCAGACAAATGACTTTGGGAGGCTGCAGCCAGGGAGAAGCTTGGTTCCACAGACCCATTTACCTTGGTAAAAATGCTTCATTCGAGATTAGAGGACCTGGCTAACCAAGCTGGCACCATCCCAAATTAGAGAAGAGCCCCTTCTTGGTCCTACTTTAGACTCATAAAAAGTCAGAGGCTCTAGAAATAGCACACTGAAGGATGAGAGGCCCAGTTTCTTTCTGGCACCAACTTACTGTGTGACCTGAAGCCAATATATCTGTCTCTCTGTCCTTAATCTTTGTACTCTAAAGGAGAACATTTTTTTCTGCTTCTGTGAACTATTTAAAGATGAATGCATCACTTTGAGGACTGTTTTCTTCTTCAAGACTTGGGGCTGGATCTAAGGATGCATCGCTCTATGTCCTGGTATTCCGGGGATATTGACCTTCCCAGGGACAGCATTTTTTGGGTATTCCTGAGTATCACTTCTCCCCCAGGCCCAGAGCTTCAGAGTTTCATTCCATACAAGTGAAGGGTCATCTCTCTTCCCATCTCTGCTCCAGGGACTGGTTACTGGTTTTTCTTTGTTGCAGGCTTCCATCATCCTAATCAAATTCCCTTGTTCTGCCCAGGAGGCATCCATGGTTGGGACTGTCAGCCCACTCTTTCCAGGCAGAGTGTTCTGAAGCTGGGAGAGTGGGGGAGCTGTGTATGGGTTGTGTTTGTATCTGTGCCTGGAACACATTGGCAAGGTAGCCAGTGTTATCTGGGCTCATACTCAGTGATGGCAGTGGTGGCAGTGGCTACTTCTGCTGCTGCTCCAGGAGCCCTGATCCTTGGGAAATTTCGAGCCTTTGAGTGACTCAGAAAGCTTCTTTGGAACCAGGACCAGTTGCTTCTCTTTCAAGTTTTAAACCTCACTTTCCCCTTTGCCTAGGAGTTCTGATTTTTTTCCCCAGAATCATTGAGATCACATGGTTTGGAGTAGCTTCCCAAAGATTCCAAAAGTTGTATTTCAGTCTTTTAGTCAAGAAATAGCTGGCTTTTGTCGCCTCCCTGTATTGGACAGCTTTGTGCAGAGGAAAGATAGTGGGGTGGTACATGCTTTATCTGCCTTGGGCATACGTTGGCAGGAACATTATCAGCACTGCCCACAGCAGCCACCTCCTTTCTTGCTAGTCCTTTTCCCACTCAGGGCAACAGTTGGGGTGACTTTTGAGGCAGGCAGAGCCCAGAAGCTCAGTCCTCCAACCCCTGTGTCTCAGCCCAGGCTTCCTTGGGCTCCCATGGCACCTTATACATACTTTAGTGGTCACACACCTTATCTGTGCTGCAATTATGTGTTTGTTTATGTCTCCTTCTCTAGACTTCAGGCTCCTGGGGGTAGACACTGTTTTATTTACTTCTGTATTCTCAATGCCCACTGTGTTTGGCAAGGAGTGGGTACTTATTGAATGTTTACTGAATGGCAAATGAGAGAGCAGACCCTACAGGGTGCAGGCAGCAAGCCCTTCCTCCTTCTCTCATGGACACTAGTCTGTCAATATGAAGCACAACCATAAGTCCTTGAGCATTCCTGCTGGGTGTTATCCAACTGTGTTCTCTGCAGTGGGTCCTGTGGTCCTCTCAAGCCAGGTCTAAAAAATGACAGCCATCCTCTCCAGCATCTCCCTCAGGGCCAAGCATAATCACTATCTACAGCACCCGGATTTGTTTTACTTTCAATGTAGCACATGTGGACCCCCATTCAGGTCTTCCCTAGGCTGCTTCAGGCTTCTGGTGAGGTATCTTCTTCAAGGAATTCACTTTCTTGTCCAGGGCCACTGCATTGGAGTCCCCAGGGCACTCAGAATGTCCCAGACCACCTGCAGCACCATGTATTATAACCTGATTCAGAAGCCATGAGGAAATAACCAGGCATCAAGCCTGGCAAAAACCTCTCCTGAATGGCAGGGGTTTCTCTCTACCACCCAGTCCCCACCCCCAACACACACACACACACACACACACACACACCCCTAAATACACTGGAAGGCAGAGCCCATCTCTTCTCCCTTCCCCATAGACTATGCAGGCTTCAATAAGTGAAATAGTCACATTCTTTGTATTTTTAAAAAGCAAAAATAAATAAATAAATAAAACCACACACAAAAACTCATAGATACAGGCAATAATATGGTGATTGCGAGAGGGAAAGGGGAGTTGAGTGGGGAGACAGAAGAGGGTACTGGGAGGATAAATGGTGAAGGAAGGAAACTTGACTTTGGGTTGAACACACAATACAATACATAGATAATGGATTATAGAATTGTACACCTGAAACATATGTTCATATATATATAATACATATATATATTTAGATAGAGTGGAAGGGAGGGAGGGAGTGAGAGAAATGTTGATGTGAGAGAGACACACTGATTTATTGCCACCTGCACAACCCCAACTAGGGCTGGGGATTGAACCTGCAACCCAGGTACATGCCCTTGACCAGGAATTGAACCCATGACCCTTTGGTCTGCAGGCTGACGCTCTAACCGCTGAGTCAAACCAGCCAGGGCTCCTATATAATTTTATTAACCAATGTCACCTCAATAAATTCAATAAATATTTTTTTAAAAACCACCAAAAATGAAGACAAGAACCACACCCTTTGCTGTCAAATCACATGCATGCCTTCTTAACTCCCCTAATAGCTCTCTTTGCCTTGTACCAAGTAGAAAATCAAAAACTTCGAGCGATCTTTGAAAAGAATAAAAGGAAACATGTAGCACTTCTCAGGGTTCTGATAGCATCAGGCTGGTCACTCCAGGGCCATGAGTTTGAGTGTTTAGACTACTTTGAGCACTTGTCGACTTCCCATGACCCAAGTAAGAAGCTAAAAGATTGGCCCCAGACATTGTAGAGGAAAGAGCCCCAATGCAGAGGGAGAAAGCCAAGAGCCAGTTTCACATGAAGAGTTGACACCTCAGAAACCCAGAAACAACAGTTCTGGGATGGCCACATAAGGACCAGTGTGTGCAGATCCTGAGCAAAGAGAGAGAGGGCCCAGCTTTGGGTCTAGCAGGCTGTG